GACTATGTCTAGCTCTTTCATTACCTGGCTCAGTCCTGTGCACATAGGCACACCCTCAGTGGCAGCTGCTAGTTATACCAGGAGAATGCGATGATGGGAACTCAGGAGGAAGGGGACAGGTGCCAAAATGCCAGACCATTGCATTGTTCCAGGGGTCTCTGCGTAAGCACCTTCTATCTACATGGACAATTATACGTACTCCATAGGCCACCAGGAAAATACCATTTTCCTTCTAAAGTGAATTAGCTGTGTCCATGAAGCCTAAGAAAATAATCCCTTCCAATAGAGAAGGGTTCCTGGATTTGAGGCCAAGTACTTAGATAACTATTCAGGCAGGTCACCATGGCTTGCTAACTCTACTATTTACCCACTAAGTCAACATCTTAATACAGCACTGGCTTCTTTCTTCGAGCTGCTTTTCATTTGAAGGCCTGCTTCAATAATCTTGTACTCCCTACCTTCAAAATTTATATTCTCTTATATGACAATAAAATTATCAACATCAGAAAATTATCATTGCTACACTACTGTTTATTCTATAGACGCTATTCATTTTGCCAAGTGTTCTCTTAATTCTTTTTACTTTTTAAAATACTTTCTTACTCTTTAGTAAGAGATTATTTATATACAGAAGAATTCACCCTTTTAAGGGTATAGTGTTAGGAGTTCCAGCAAACGCATAGGAGGCCTCTAATGGTCTGGGCTAAGGAAGATTTCCTGACCCTTCCTCAGTAGTGGGACATCTCCTTTCTCAAGTAGTGGGACATCTTGAAAAGTCTGGGATCCACGCCTGCAAGTTTTATTGTTTCCTTTCCCCAGCTCCCATGGGTCATCTGTGCTCTAAAGGTGACAGTGTTTGCTATACATTTCCAGCAGCTTAAGATTTTTGTCCCATAGGAGGCTTTGTGCCTTTCCCTGGGAGATCAGCTACTTCCTTCCCCTGGACCTAAACCACTGGGGAAGCTTTGGGACTTGCCCTGTCCCCAGTCTCTCTTATGAGCACTGGTGAGGTCCCCAAAGGGCCCATGAGTGGGTATAAATTCCCTTGTGTCTGAAGTTCCTGGGAGTCCTGTCCTCTCACACAAGCCCACACTCAGCCTTTAGCAATTAAGAATTTTAGCTGAATTCTTCTTACCAGCTTGTATGACATCCGGTGTTTCCAGCAAGTAAGTGCGTGCCCATGTCCTATCTCTCCTTAGAGGATCCTTTGTTTCCTTAGATTTTGAGTCACATGGTTGTCCTGTGACCACAGTTCTATGAAGCACTCAAAAAAGAGTTGGGTTCTCATAGAATGGTTAGCATTTTTTGTTGTGGATTTAAGAATAAAAGCAGCCTTTTCTAGTTTCTATACCCTAAAGGGAAGGCGGAAGTCCATTTTATAATTCTGGATCATCTGTGAATTTGATTTCTTTCCTTACTATACTGTAACTATCTGGAAAATGAAAATAATCACATCTGCAGCAGGATGGATGTAAGGGGAGATATAGTGGTTGAAAAGCTGGGTTTGAAATTTGGATTTAATTATACCTTCAGATAGACAGGTTCTCTCCTGTAGCTGCTTCTGACCCAGGCTGAAATAATTGTCTCCTCTTCCTGAGACTTGTAAGGAAAAAAGTATGATTGGGTAGCATTCACCTCTGCCAAATTAAAGAGTTTGCTTGCTATTAGTCAGCGCACCCTGAAAGTTGTAGGAAGACTTCCAAGTATTTTGAAGGGAAACTGACAATTAAAAAGAAAAAAAAAAGGCTTTTGTATAGGGAAATGCAGCTGCCTGGCATAGCTACAGTGTGAGCAATTATATAGAAAATGCCTATAATGTGAAATGATGCAAAATAAATTCCTGACCAAGGAGCTGATCCTAACAGGCTAAGTGGTTACTTTGAGGTTTTCACCTCAGGGCACAGCAGTGAAGCCGCAGTAGATTTTAAGTTTGCTAGGAAATCGTGTAATTTCTTAAAGGAAGCTAGTTAGTCACAAACATTTATTCAACATCTATATTAGCTGTTGTAGGATCCAAAAGATTGTAAAAGAAATAATTATTCTGAATAATTGTCAGAACAGTGTCAGGTTCTTTCTGGGCCTACTTTGTCTGAGGGCACAATTCTAAGGGACAATTCACCATCACACCCCAGGCCCAGCTGCTCTGTTTGTCACTCTCTTCTGTCCTGTGGGCGGGGACAAAGCCAGCGATACAGCCCCTCCTAGTGCGCTCTCACGAACCTTTAATCCCCTTTCACCTGGCTGCAAAACCTCCTGACCCCCCAGCTCAGGTCCCAGGGGTCTCAAGAATCTCCCTGACAACCTCACACCACCTTTCCACCTGGTCGAATAAAGATGTCCTACTTCACCTCCAAAACAAAACCAAAAACCAAAACAAAACCCAAAAAACAAAAACAAAAACAAAAAGCCCCCGAGAAAATGAATTTATGCCAAAGTGTCATTTACTGACACATCTTTCTTAAGAGGACAACTTTCTTATAATTTTTGTTTTTTATTTTCTTTTTAATTAGAGCAGAGAATGGCCAATTCTCAGGCAGGTATCTCACCACCATGCTGCATGCGGCTCTGTGAGCTAGCCACCCAGTCTGTATATAGACAGACCCCTCCAGCCTTCATATTCTAGATGAGGCTGCACACCCACTCTCAGAGCATGGTTTTCAGCAAGTATAATGAGGTTGGTCTGTGTCCCACATATTCCTGTCTATCCCTCTTCACACCTATGTTAGCTGGGCAATCTTTGGAAACAGAACAGATTTTTTCCTCCTCTCCTTTCTCCTGCTTGAATCTCTAGCTTGGAATCTGCATGTTGATGTACTGTCTCCGGCATATTTCACTGGCACCAATCCCTCTCCAGGGTTCTGGGTCTTTCTGTACCACTGTGTTTCCTGGTGGGAAAAGACTGTTCTCTCTTGACTGTGAACTGAATAGAGAAGACCAGTGATCCCTGCCTTTTTTCTATCACCACTGAAGTAACTAATAGAGGGGGCACTTCTTCAGGGGTGAGTCTCCTCAGATAGGCCCGAGACATCCGTGCAGAACACCGCATAAACCTTGACCGTGGGCCCACTCTACCACGGCACTGTGCTTGGCTCAAGAGTTACCAAGGTGAAAAAGACCATCAGTGAATGAGTTCTCTGCAATCTGACCTTTGTAAGGAACTTGGTCTGAGTCCTCTAGAGCCGAACTAAGGAGGCAAAAAACTGTAACCCCATATTTGCCTTCCATTTAGAAATATAACATGGCAGAAATGAAAAAGTTCAGCTAAGTCAACCCCCTGAGAGGGGCTATTGATGGATCCAACAAGAGTTGAGCACTTCATTTCAACAGGAGTCTCCAATTATATTCATCCTATGTTGTACCCTTCTGTGTAAGATTTGTTTTAATGAAAGTTTCCCTCCTAGGGATGTGTGCAAGTGTGCAAAGATATATAAGAGAGTCTTCACTGAAGCATTATTTGTAATCAGGAAATATTGGAAACAACCTAAATGTCCATCAGCAGGATAATGGATAAATTACAGTCTAGTTATTTAATGGCATAATGTACAGCAGAGAAAATTAACTAGAACTATGTATATGTACACAGATATATTTCAAATAGATAATGCTGAGATTTAAAATACAAACTGGATACATAGATATATCACTTATTTGAAGTTTAAACTATTAAATACTGTCCATTATTTTAGACTATATATGTGTAGTTAAAGCATAAAAACATGAATATGAGTGATGCATGTCAATTTCAAAAAGAGATTTCCCCTCTTCTTAGGGGAAGGGGATTGAGTATATCGGGGGCTACAGGGGTATCTGCACCATTTCATTTTTTAATATGGTGGTATATAGTTGAGTGTTTGCCTTTCAGTATAAATTTTATGTGTCTGAAATATTTCATTTTAATACTTTTAAAAAGAAAGAGTTCTGCTGATTTTAAAAAAGTTTGAAAGCCAATGAACTAAGAAGGGGTGGGTGAGGAATGCTGATACTCAAAGTTACAACGGTCTCCAAGCAGGTCTCTGCGACCCCCTCCAGGCTATCCTTCGAAAGCCCATCCTGCCTTCTGGAATAGTGTCTCTCAAGCCCTAGCAGGCCTATGGCAAAATGCATATTTTATCCCGACCCCCATCTTGGATTCTCATTTCGTTGTCTGAGGTTTTCATTAAGCACACCAGTGATTCCAGTAGGTGTGGTCAGGGTACCTTTGAGAAAGATGTTCAAGGTAAGCAAATGAAACCTCAGTAGCTCATGGGTCTACAAACCTTTGCCACAGACCTGTTGCTAACAATGATTTAGAGTTAAGCCATGTCAGAACTATGACTTTGTATACTCAACAGGGATTATTTCTGTTTCCCACTCAACATAATGAAAGCCCTTTAAATCAGTGTGGTTTTGGGGGCAGGGGTCGGGGAGCAGGAGAAAAAGTTAAGGTAAGGGAGGGGGCAGTTAAAAACAATGCAATGAAAACATTTTTATTTTCTGAATTAAGGAGGTACTAAATAAATAGATCATGGTACCAATTATCAGGGCTGGAACTAACAGTATATGGTAATTATATAAACAGCTCCTTGGCATTCATTTGGGGAGAGATGCTGTTATATCCCCTTTTCCTCCTTTATTAAGACAACACATGTTTTTAGCATATCAAAAATACAGAAAATGTAGAGAAGATTATAAAAATCACCATTAATATCACAACTGAAATAATAGCTGCTTTTTATTTGTGAACTGGTTGACATGATGTTCACAGTTTGAAAATTGGCCAAGATGGGAGTAATTACACCACAGAAATAGGCAAATGCTGTAAACCAGCTCCTTACTTCTACCCCAGATTCAGAAGTTCAACTTTTACTAGCAAAGCAATGAGCCCATCTGACATATACATTTCCCCCCAAATTTAGATAATGCTACAATGTAGTTTTGGGACTGCAAGTGTATATCTGACAAAGAATTTTCTGAGTTATCTTGGGAAATTAATGGGCTGATCCCTTTTTCATATTGTGTAGGGGGAGCAAGGACCCCAAGGCTTTCCAGGGCCAAAGGGCATGACAGGCCGTGGCCTCCCTGGCCAGAAGGTAAGTTATTTTAGGACCTTAGAAAGATGCTTAGGTTTAGGATCTCAATAGCTTCACGTGAGCTTTGGGAGAGCTCTCATCCTGGTCATTCATCCTTATAGCTCTTGGAGGAAAAAAAATCCATTTGGAAGCAAATCCTTACGGATTTCCTTTCCTGACTATATACATGCTTAATTTATAAATCTCGTTTTCTTCATCCTTGAAAGCCAGCTGCTAAACGAGTGAATCCTTACAACATACCCTGTAGAAGACACCAGATAACTCTGCTGTAAAATTTTATAATAGTTGAACTTCCTGAAGACAGTGAGCTGTTCTGATCATATCTCAAGGTCTCCTCACCTTGAGATCTCTGGTTCATCATGAATTAGATCATGGTACCTGGGGGAATGTAAATATAATGCCCCCCATTTTTTTTTCCTGTAGTATATTTGTATCAACCAGAACCACAGGTCTTCAAGAGATACCACTGGGAAATGAATTAAATTTTAGAGTTTTTCTTATTTGGCTTCAATATTTACATTCTAAACTTCTCTTTTCACTATATTCTAAAGGGAGAGCATGGAGAACAGGGCACCATGGGAAAGAAAGGCGATAAAGGGGAAATTGGAGAGCCCGGATCCCCAGGAAGACAGGCAAGGAGTGATTTTTAAAGTCTTACTGTAATTTTATACATTACTTCCAACCTATATTGACTGTTACTCTTCTTCCCCTAAGTAGGGGTTACAAGGACCAAAGGGAGACATAGGACTTACAGTGAGTATCCATCCTAGAGGGTAATTGAGGGTTTGTGCTTGAAAAATTATTCCATTCATGTTTTAGCTTCAGAAGAATGAATTTTTTTGACACAGAGTTCCAGCTGCTATTTAACGATAGCACTGCTACAAGCCCAGTGTTGACTGAGATGCATGAGGTAATTGATCTGAGCATGAGGGAGAAAGAATACCAGGCAGCCCTCACCCGGCCTTGTGGTGGTGTGTGACACTCCCCTGTGGCCCCTGGCAGACAGGGTAACGAGGAGGTGAGCTGTTTAAACAAGCCAAATGACCAAATGACTTCTACTTTACACAATCCTTCACATTTCCAAATGGGGCATTCGGTTTCCTTGAAGTAGATCCTTTAGGAAGTGCTCTGAGGAGAACAGCCATCACACAATGGAGATTACTTGAATGTACTAATTCACTTATTCAACAAAACTTGTGAGGCCTTGGCAAACTTTTCCCTATGCTCCCTACACCATTGCAAATAAAAAGCTGAAACTCTTCAAAGTCTCACAGGGTACTAAAGTTCTAGAATTTCTATAGCAAAGTCTATTTCTTCCTTTCTCATTGGAAGGCACTACATCTCCTGGAGTGGAGAAGCAATGGGAACCTTCTCTTTTATCCTCCTTTGGATTTTTCAGTGGGTCGTAGTCTGGGGATGCTGACCCTATGTGCTGGGCTAAGCAAATCCAGGTGTAAGGGGTTGGAGTTCAGGTAGTGAAGGTAAGACCTGAGAGCTGAGCATATGACAAACAGAACACACACTTTTTTATGGCCTGTTTGCCTTTTCCTCTTCGTTCTTCCTCACCACAAGTCAGATAGCCCCAGATGCCTATGGCGTATGAAAGAGCTACATACACATCAGTTCCCCCCCCAAAGTATCAGGGAGAGTATCTGTAAAATGCCCAGAGGAACAATCCCCATAGGTCTGTACCCTCCCTCCTAACCCAGTATGAGGAGAGGGCCTGCCTTCCTTCATCCATTCATTTGTTCACTCATTTCACCAACATTTATTGGGTGCGTATTCTGGGTCAGGCTCTGAGATAGGCAGGGGAGCAGCAGAGATTAAGAGACTGTGTCTGTGGACTCAAGGAGCTCATAGCCCATTAGAAAGAAAGACAAGCAAAGGATGTTCACCTGTCATTTGATAAGTGCTATGATAGGCGTAGATAATGATGTGGATCGAGAGCAGACAAAAGGATGTCTGATGATGTTTGGGGCCACATTAGGCTTTAATTGCTTGAGCAGAAGACTTTTAACCAAGAGGCAGAGATCTTAGAAATGAGAATGTCATTCTGCTGACCTTGGCTTTCTAGATTCTAGAAGAGGGACTAGCAGGGAAGGATGACTGAAGGAAGAGCAAATTTGCCTGCAATGAGATTCCAGTCTGTGACCGGTCCTGCGTTAGGCTCCTTCACCTCCGGGGCTCCTTCCTCTTACCTAGTACTGCAGGGTGCCTGAGGGCTCATGTTTTAGAACCCCCACACAGGACTTATAGTGCTTCTTCAGCCGCACCCCTTCCCCTGGGTGAGGAGTCCTCAGGGCCGAGGAGAGTGAGCACCCTGAGCACACGCCCACTCCATTCTACACACTGGATACACAAGATCCCCAAATTGCCTGCCTAAATGGCCCATTTGGAAAGCTGACAGCACTGGCCTGTATGCATGGGTCCCCCCAGAAGGTGGGCAAGGGGCAAGTGTTGTCAGGGAATTTGGACAGAGCTCAGAAGTAAGGACTGTTCACACCATGAATGCTGGCCCAAGCCCCGTGCAGTGTAGAAATGGTGGGGACAGGGTGCAACAAGAAGGGGACAGGCCGCAGGCCACAGCCCTCTCTTGCCCAAGATTCCATGCGAATCTACAGGAGAGCTCCATGAGGTAGGTACTGTTATCTCTACTTCCATGAAAGACATGCTAAGTCAGAAAAGTTTGGGCGACATGCCTGAAGTCGCCTTGCTAGCGAGTGGCAGAGCCCTTGTAGACGGAGTTGGTTTGTCTGGTGCCAAATCCAGGCAGCTCCCCCATAAATCTGTTCTTAGAAGGCCTCTTCCCTCTCCCCACCCACGTTCTCTCCCTGATCAAATGTATCCCCAAGCAGCTGTCAGTTGTAGATTCATTCCAGACTAGTAAACTACTCTTTTAAGAGGCAAATACCATTGACAGATTTCAGTGTCGCAAGAATTCATGCCAAATTGCTTCAAAAAGAGTCTTCTTCCACCCATCCCTTACATGTGAGCATTTCTCAGTGTCTGCCCTCAGTCTTCTTTCTTCTGGTCTTCCAACTCTGAGGCAGGGACAGCCATGAAAAGAAGGAGGGATGGACAGTTTGAAAAGGCTAGTTTGATATCATAGCAAAGTTGTATGGAGAGTGACAACATACTGTCTTCATGTTATAAACATGCAAAAGAATACGTTTAACCAGTGGAGGTGCAGGAACACACTGGTTTAAAACAGACTGGAAAGCTCTGCTCTAGGAAATCTCATCTGCCGTTGCTGTTTCCACAGCGAGCTGTATGCCGGCCTTCCTTAAATCTGCCTCCAGTTTGCACTGCTCTCTTGAGCACCAGACCTTACGTCTTACTGCCTACTGGACATCCCCAGCTGGCTGTCCCATCGATGCATCAGACTCAGCCACGCCCAAGCGGAGCCCAGTGATCTTCGTTAGCCCCCACCCTGCTCCTATTCCATTCCTCCCTAATCTCAGAGAGCGGGCCAACATCCTTTGCCTCCTCTGAGACTCTTTCCTCACCCTTCCTTCCAATTACCCACCAACCCCTTCATTTTCCCTCAGAAAGTTCCCTCTAGACCAATCCTTCCTCCTTAACACCGCCACCACTGCTTTCTGGTGTCACTTCCCCCACACCCCTGAACTATTTAGGAAACTCAAACCCCTCCATCGGCTGCCATGGTCACCTTTCTAAAATAAAAGCGTGATCAGATCTCTTCTCTGCTTAGGGACCATGCGTCTTCTCACTGCCCACGATAAAGTTCACACTCTTCAACCTGACACAAAGGCCTTCTAGAGTTCCTCTGTCTTACACATTTCCTGTCATTCTCTCTGCCACGTACCCTGTGTCCTAAGTTTACTCAAGTACTGCAAGGCACTGTGTTTGTGCACTTGGTCCCCTGCCTGGAATGCTCCTCCCATTCTCCCTCTTTCCTCCTCAGGCTGCTTGTAATCCGCCTTCCTGGACCCACCCTCTGACTCCCACCTCTGCAATTCCCAGCACACCCCTGTGGTTCCTTGACTCCAATCCAGTAGCATAGCACTTACAAAAGTATTTATTTGTCTACTGCTTACTAGACTATGAATCTTTTGATAGGTGTAAATTCGATGCCTTCATCACTGGCAAAAATAGCCAAAGTAGTCATTGAGCAATTTGAGTGGAAAAAATAAAACAATTTTAGTCAAGCAAAAGCGAAGAAGAGGAGGAAAAGGTTGATATATGTGAGTACCTAAAGCTTTTTAGACCTGGTTAGACCATAAAAGCACATTAAGAAGAATTTAAATGCAACTTTGATATAAAAATTATTCTTACAAGTCAATGAAAGATAAACATCTTAATAGAAAAAATAGACCAAGGACATACAAAGAACTTGCACAAGAGGATACAGCTTGGAAACATGCATATGAAATAAAATTTAGCCTCACTAAGAATTGCATAAGTATAATTTAAAACAATGTGATATCTTGTTCTATCAAGTGGCAGCGATTATATAAAAATAATAACCAGTATTATGTGTCTAAAATAAAATAGGTTTTCCTACACACTGCTGTTAGAGGTGTCAGTTACAATCTTTCTGAAGGTCACTTTGGCAATATGCATCAAGAGCCTTAAAATGGCCATGCATCCAACTTCAGTAATCAAGTTTTTCAGAATACTTAATAATATGGGAAATTAAGTATGACACAATGTTAAGTGAAAAACTGTAATAAACTTGGTGTCTAATATTTTCTTCACTTGTAGAAAATTAAACATAAATAAATATATTTCCCCTTTCTAAAGACACAATGTGAATATATAAATATATGCATTTTCCCTTTCTAGACACATCCTAGTTTCAGATTTCAGATTAAATGCCTCTCTAAATGTGGAAAAACATGACAAGCCCCCCCCTCAAAAGATGACTGTTGACTTCCTCATTTTATATAATTGTATTAATATTGTATTGGGAGCTCTTTTTAAATAGCCACTTGGAGTCACTGGCTGTTACTCAATTGTACAATTAAATTAAATTAATTTAATGTAAATGTATCAGGATACACTGGCTGTTACTCAATTGTACAATTAAATTAAAATGCTCTGAATATTTTCCGTACATGTTTCTGTTAAGTCCCATCACCAGCGATGTCATCTTTACCCCAATTCTGTCATTGTGGATTTTTTTCTTTAAAACTTTACTTTTGCAACTGTTAAATTTTATCTTCTTAGATCTTCTTAGTTTTGCTTCCTTCCCGTTGAGATTTTCTGGGCTTCTATTAACAAAGTTCATCATTCCCTTCAGCTTCCTGTCTTGGGCAAATACAGAATTCTGTTTTCCATCGTCCCATCACAGTTATTTGTAAACGTGCTACTCAGGGCAGGGCGTTGGCACATTCACTCCCCCTCCCCACCTCACCCGGGGCTCTTCTGCTGGAGCTGATGGCAGCAGGACCAGGAAGGAGCATTCAGGAACATGGGGACATTTCATGGAAGTGCCGAAGTGAGAGTATCAGGAACCTGGGGAGGGGACTTGCAAAACTGGACGGTGGTAGAGAAAAGGAGGGAATACAGCATAGAATGAATTCTCTTTTGGCCCTGGTACTTGTCTTGGTTGCTCAGCACATGTGGGCTAAATTGTGTAACTGATGGCAAGCATCACCCACACCTTTCTTTATAAGTTATACTTTATGGAGTTGGACCCTATCCTAAGAGTTCTGTGTGCGTAGCCTCATTTGACCTGCACCCCAGCCCTGAGACACAGATACTGTTAGGTCATCTAATGCCCAAGGTCACACAGCTGATAAATGCTGGAGCCGCAATTGTGAACTCTAGAAGTCTGAGCTCTGACATTTCACAACTCAAACACATTTCAGTTATGATATATTCTAGCTACCTTTTAACCTCTGTGCCATTTATTTTCTTCAGCTGAAGAATAAACGCAAATGGCTCCATGCTGACTGTAACAAGACACAGCTTTTATGATGATAGGAAAAAAATGTTATGGTCATATATTTAATACGTTTTCCTTTTGTCCTCCAGAGAGAAGAAATTATCAAAATTATTTTTGAAATATGTGGTAAGATTTGACCGTCAAGAAAAAAAAAAAAAACATCCCCTCAAAGTACCACAGCCACTATGTTCTGTGTTGGTCAAGATAAATGTGGTCACCCAGAGATATAGGGGAGAAAGCTTATGAGAAAGTTTGAAGCTCATTTGGAAAGTCAATGGGAAACTGAAAGATGCAGGGAGAGGGGCTGTGGGACTCCTGATTTAAAAAAAGAAATCATCCTCCCAGGGTGGTTAAAAGGAGTGAAGACACTGGCCCTGGAGTCTGTGGGCAGCCAGGCCTTTTGTGAGCACAGAGCTCATTTGTATTCAGTGACATTTACCTGAGCTTAGGAAGGAAAAAAACAACAAAGGAAGTATGACCACAAGGGCTTAACTGGCATTTGAATCCAGTCTGGCTGGTGATTATAATGTCTGTGTTTTTCCTGAAGCAAGAAGTCTTTCTGAATTGAGTTTTGAGCACAATTTCTAGAGTGCATTTCATTTCCAAGGCAGGAGGACGCTGTCAGTCATCGTGCTTCATAGCTCTATCTAAATGCCTCTATGGCTAAATGCGTTAGACTTAAAATAGACTTAGCAGAAAGAGGAAGAAAAGAGATTAGCCAAAAGGCAAGAGATTAATAAAATAATGGAGATAAGAGAAACGTGGCAGAAATGTCATTGTTCTTCCATACAGGGAACCCCTGAAATGGCTTGTCCCCCAAAAGACCTCTGGATGTTAAGAACCCATCTGGTACTCTGTATGATGACAGGCCAATTTAGATGGGGCTTTGGAGTTCTAGAAGCCCGGCAAAAATAGCACCCAGTTTCCTCATGATTTTTTGTGGTAGGGCTGTTGGGCAACATGAGGATATGAATAAACCAACGGAGCCCTGATAAGTCTTATATCCTGGTAACTCTAATGATTGCTTTGAATGGTAAACCCTAAAACAGAAGTTGTTTATTAACCAGCATTCTGAGATCGTTCTCCTGAAGAGGTGTCATAGTATGGACGGACTGCTGGCCTCACTGAGCCACCTTTGCCGTCATTGTGAGCGACTGGGGACACAAACTCGAGTCTGGGGCAGCTGTTCTTCTGTACAGTTATGGGCCCTAATCCTTTCCCCACAATTAACCATTTTCAATGGTTTCATGACTCCACCCAATTGTCATGCTAATGAGGAAATATCAGTTGTCACATAAGGATATGGTGGAAGACTAGAAGATTAGCTTTCAGATTCAGATTAAATACAAATGCTGGAAGGATAAAGAGCAAATTGAGGCTAGGGTTTTCTTTTAGGGAGAGGGAGAGGAATGTAATCAGGAAGGGACACACAGGGATGCAGACTCTTCTAAAAGTATATATTTTTTAATCTGAGAAATTGGCACATAGGTGTGTCCTCTACAGTGCTTTGATGGGGTTTTTTGTGTGGGGGTGGGGGAGGTTGTTTTTGCAGTACATTATTTTCTAAAAAGTCAGATATAGAAACCAGAAGGGGGACAGCTGTTAGCTGTTAACACTCCCAGAAAGGGAAGGTAATGATCCAGGTCTCTGGTGGTTCGCTGCCCCTCTCTCAAACCACTCTGATGCCAGTCAGTGATGTTCTGATTTTCATTCGTGCCATGTTTCTATCTCAACATTCATCTTTTAGGGTGTGGGCCCAAATGCAAAGAGACTCCTCTAGAACTGCTGTTTGTGATTGACAGCTCCGAAAGCGTAGGGCCAGAGAACTTTGAGATCATCAAAAGTCTTGTGAAGACTCTGTCCGACCAGGTTGCTCTGGACCTCACTACAGCCCGCATAGGCATCATCAACTACAGCCATAAGGTGGAGAAAGTTGCTCATCTGACTCAGTTCTCCAACAAGGACGACTTCAAGTTGGCTGTGGACAACATGCAGTATCTGGGGGAAGGCACCTACACAGCCTCAGCTCTCCATGAGGCCAACCACATGTTTGAAGCCGCAAGGCCAGGTGTAAAGAAGGTGGCCTTGGTCATCACTGATGGGCAGACTGATACCCGAGATGCAAAGAATCTGACGGAAGTGGTGAAGAAAGCCAGTGACATCAATGTGGAAATATTTGTGATTGGGGTAGTGAAGAAAAATGACCCCAACTTCGAAATGTTCCACAAAGAAATGAATCTCATTGCTACTGACCCAGATAGTGAGCACGTTTATCAGTTTGATGACTTCATTACCCTGCAAGGTAAGCCTCAGCGCCAGGGGAAAGGAATTTATGTTATTCTTCCAAGTACTGCATCGCTGGGTTATCCTGACCACAAATGGAAATCAGAAGGAGGCTAATGAGGCTTACGCCAACACTAAATTGAACACATAAACTCCAGAAGGCAAAAAACATTTAGCAGTCGTCCAGTTTAGAGAGTATAATCTCTTGTCTTTATTCATTTGGAATAAGTGCTGAGTTGGCCTTGGAGTTGATTAACTGGGCTATCTAAGGTCGAGCACACGGTTGAAAAGAAAGAGTAGGATCTGGGGTATTGCTAAGCCTAGTTAATGTTCGCAAAGTGACCTAAGCTGCATAAGAGATGCAGGAAGCCCCCAGCAAGGCAGAAAAGAACCATGGAACCAAAGTGAATTAAGAAGTGCATGATGAATGAAAAAAAGTTATGGTAATCTAGAGAGATGAGAAACCCAAGTAACGGGGATAATTCTCATCTCTTCTATTCTCCATTTGCTGCTCTTATAGACTATGAAACTAAGGAAGAATAAACAGGTTGATGTGGGGAGTTTATCTTAAAGTTCCACATTGCGGCTATTCATCCTACAGTCAGTGCTAATCTGGTGGGTTTCCCTTTGCTACTTTCCCCTGTCACACGAACTGATGTTGCCCAGAGAGGCATTCTAAGACACTGACACATCTGTGTTTAGAATGTGGTCAGTATTGCTTCACAGTGAAACACGTTCCAATTCTTTGGCACCTGAGAACTTGTGGTAGGAGTCACATCCAGCGAGCTTGTGAAGTAGGTGAAACGTATGCTTCACGTGTTTGCAGGCTTCCATTTGGCTCCATCATTCCTTGTCCGTCCTTCCAGGAGTGGGGGCTGACGTGGCCTAGCACAGCCTCTCCTTGCCCTCCTGCTGCTCCCCGCCTACTCTGGCTGCCAGCCCGGCTTGCCTGAAGGGTAGCATGCCCTGTCCAGAACCTTCCCACTTTCTATTTCCCCTTTCTCCAGGCCTTTCTTCTGTGGTTTCGTTTCCTGAACGCCCCGCAGGATGACTGGTGGGCTTATCGGACAGAGTCTCTCTCACTGGGCTGTTACTGTGTTAGACTGGCCAGATATATTACACATTTCAGAGACATTATACTTTAATAACTAAAGAGCTTTATCATCTTTTAGCCAAAGGAGTTAGTAATTCATTCCAGCTAATGAGGGATATATTTTTGGACTGGCTGGCCTTTTGCTCTCTCGGGAACCACAGGAACTGCCCATTATACTCTTTATGGGTGGGGACCCGCCCCTTCCACAGAGTAGTTCAGTTAACTGATGCTTTGGATAGCAAGGATTTAAGTGATTCTTTTGCCTCCATAGGCTGTTGTACATTATTAAGTCAAATTGAATTATTTTAGATGGCTTCTTCTAGATGATCCCCAAAATGCTTTAAAACTTAGTTCACCAAGCAGTTGACCTCAAGTGATGGGAAAGTGTCTGTTTATTTTAAGGAAAGCATGGAAGATCTCTTTAAACAGGCTTTGCCCCTACTATTCCCCTTTTCTACTTTTCTTTTAAAAGACACCCTGAAGCAAAAATTGTTTAAAAAAACATGTGAGGATTTTGATTCCTACCTCATTCAAATTTTGGGTTCACCGCCACTTCAACCTGGATTTGGGATATCAGGGGAAGAACTTGGTGAATCCACGCCAGAGCCTCAGAAAGAGATTTCGGAGTCTGTAAGTAACTGTCTTGCTTAATTTATGAGCTTAAAATTGTGTATTCTGTCTTACGTCAAAGACCGTCTTGGCCTGCACTGTCAAGAACCAACTGAGAGAAGTATATTTTCAAGTCCTTGGCTATAAATAGTAGTACTTTTGCCTTCAGATTTCTAGTTCTGAAATAGCTCTGGGGCTTGTGAGCATGAATATGAGATTTTTCAATATTTCCATATTTTATAAGTAATTATTTATTGAACGTTGCAAATAATACTTTTATAGTAGGCCCCAGCTACCACCAAATGAATTATGTACGCTAGAACAGATTAACACAGCACTATTTGAATCACCCACTTGCCATGCTCTACAGATCCTTTCATACAAGGTCACAACTCCCCCTCATCCATCTGGGTACATGCTCCCCACTTTGCACCCTCTCAAGTTTCTTCCAAGTGTGCACATTTTCCATATTCCTGCCATTTTCCATATTCCAAGCCATGTTCTTGCTCATTTAGCTTCCACCTCCTGTGCTCAGAGTGGAGACCGGCTGGGAGGCTATGCACGCATATGGTACAAGGTGGATGCTCTGTTTCAGAGCTCCTCAAATACACGTGCGTGAGGGAACTGCCTCCCGAATGTATTAAGACAAATGTGACTATCCTCATAGCAAGCTTCTGGGCACTGACCTCAGATCAAGAGCAACAACTATTAGGTTCTTTTAGGTGAAAATTGGAAAGCCTCCCATAATTCCTGGTAAGGGAGTGCTGTGGTCTCTTCCCCACCAAGTTACAAGCCAAGCAGGTCTAGACTGATCTCTACTACACATACGGACATCCTCTGGCTAGCAGGTACGTGGGGGTTGTGCCCTTTTTCTCTAAGTTGTGCCCATTCCCTGAGGAAGTCCCTGCGCTGTCCTCTTATGAAAGAACATGAAAGATTCATTATGAGCAAGTGCAACAATAGTCTTGCATCAGGATTCAGTTCACTGTCTAGTTGGACTAAGGCCCTGAGAAACCTCCAGATCAGTAGTTGGGCCCAGGGCCATTCAGGAATCAGGCCTAGGTTGCCATTCCTACGGGGATAGACTGTAGGACTCACTGGATTTTTATATTCCGTTCAAAAAAGGGTAGTAAAGTCTCTAATATATTTTTATTTGATTAAATACTGACTGACTCCAAGATGGGTAATTCCAATTAGAGCAACAGAGTGCCCCTGGATTGTAGATTGAAATTCACCTATACATTTATACCACATGGTCTATATCAGGGGTCAGCAAACTCTTTCTGTAAAGGGCCACATAGTACTTTTTTTTTTTTTTTTTTTTTTGGTTTTGCAGGTCATTTGATCTCTGTTGCAATTGTTCAGCTCTGCCTTTGAAGTGTAAAATCAGCCACAGCCAACACTTACCTGAACAAACATGGTTACATTCCGATAAAACTTGTTTCTAAAAACAAGTTTTTATGATGAAAGCTTGCATTTGGCCCATGGGGTTTGCCAATCCTGGTCTTCACTGAGCTTTTAAAGGTAAATTACAGACAGTAGAGTACACAGTTTATCTCCTCCGGAGCATGGAGTGCTCCTGGGGCCTTGCCTGCCTGTGTGACTTATCACTCTGCCCCTCTCCTACTCAATCCGTCCCTTCCTGAAGATTTCCTAGACAAGAGCAAACTCAGGTTTCATCTGGCAAGTGGCACTTAAACTCCGAGCTCTCCCTATAATCAGTGCATTCCATACCACGTACTGATCATTTACTACCATACCAGGGGGTGGCTCTTATGACACAGTTCCTGTCCAGGGGAAGTCCATGGCCCCTCAGGAAGATGGATGCATACAAGAATTAAGAACTTTAACAGCTGTGGATGAGGCACAAGAGATGTTGCAGTTAATTTCAGAGTCAAGGAAGGCTTTACAGGAGAGGTGGCAATGAGCTAAGTTTTAAGAATAAGTAGGAGTTTGTCATGACAAGAGTAAGGGGAAAGGTATTTCCAGCAGAGGGAACGTGTGGGCAAAGGGGGATTCCACAGGGCACAGCATTTCAAGACACTGGGAAAAGTTCAGTCTCACTGGAGCCTAAGGTAGGTGTAGCAGGATGGGGAATGCTACAGCTAGACAGTCACATGCTTCATGGGTCAAGTGAAGGAGCTTGAACTTCATATGTAGGCCAGGCAGCCAGGAGAAAGCAGAGGAGTTTGTAAAGCAAGGGTCATATGGTCATGTTTGGTTTGTGGGAGGAATAACCCTGTTGCTGTGCAAAGGATAAATAGGAGAACAGGAGACTGGGGCTGAGCTGTGAAGTCTTGCAAGAGTCCAGGAGGTCAGACTGAAAGCAGGTGTGGACTGGAAGCCATTTCTGGGGTAGAATGAACAGGATTTAGTGACTGGTTGGGTTGGAGTTTAGGGTTAGCCTAAGGTTAGCCAGCTGGGTTTCTAACTTGGATTTGGAGTGAACTGAAACACTGTCTGCTGAGCTGGAGACTAGAGGAGGCAGGCTGGGGGGTTTTGAAGGAAAATACTGAGCTTGCTTTGCACCAGATAAAGCGGAGTTGCCTGAGGGACCTCCAAGGCACTTAGGACATGGAATGAGGAACAGCATTGCCTCTGGTATAATGGCACAGAAAGTTAGAAGGTGCTGAGAGACGAGCAATGTTAACAGATTATGACAGATGGAGCATTCTAGGACCTATGGGGGGGGAGGGCGTAAGAAAAGTATATCCAAAATAGTTTGGATTTCGAACACCAAGAGCCACATAGAGTGAAACTGAGCCTCAGCTAGGTCTCATCGGGTGCCCTGAGATAGCAAAGCACGCAATGGACTTGAGCTTCCTGGATAGCCCTCATCTCTAGAGCTTCTCACCCTGGCTCCCTTCGCAGAAGCACCAAGGCAAGACTGAATTTTCAACAGTGAGTGTTCCTGATAGGTTTTAGTCTGAACAAACATGTATGCATTGATATTCACAGTTATCTCTGTCATACGTATATGTGACATACACACACAAATATGAAAGCATACTTATATACCCACCCTTTATCTAAAAGTATATATACAGTATCCAAACTTGTCAAGTGAATCTGTCCAAACTTTTCAATTCTCAGATTTTCCCCATTGCCCTAGGCAATACATCTCAGAAGTCCTATTTCCCTTACTGAGTCTCTCTTTCCTTTCTCTGTTGCCTCTATCACTCCTTACAGCATCTAGTGCTAGCCTTCCTTCTTCCTCTTCTTTCTGTTGAAATCTGTTCTTAGAGAAAAATCTAGTCATTTATCCTTTTGTGTGAAATCTAAGTCAAAGGGTTTCCACCTCCAAGAAAGACTTACATATTAAGCATTTTATCTTATTGTGGAATGAAGTTAAGGTACGCTCAACATCTGTGCACAGGTGTGTTCGAAATGCAGAGAGCAGACGGATTTCCCAGGTTCTACTAAATTCATAACTCCTCGGTAACCCCCTGCTCTGTTGCTCTTTCGGGCCAGTCTCGGGAAGCTAAACATGCACATCCATTCTACTCTGTTCCTCTCCTGAAATCACAGGATCATTTACACTTGCTTTGGAATGTGTTACATTTTACATTGTTAATTATTTATGTATATACCTCAACTCTCCTAATGGATTTAAATTCCTTGAGAATGTGATCTGTGTCTGATTAAGTTTTGTGTCCCACTCACGACTTAAAAATGTGCTTCATCTTTCACACAGTAGATGCTCAATAAATACTTAGTGACCAAATGAGTGCTATACCAAATGTTAGGCTAAAAAAGAAATCTAAAATTTTTCTTCAATGAAAGGCATCAATTATTCTGTTTAAAAAAAATCCTTACCTTTTATGGAACTAATAATGTTGGCACTCACGTTCCTTTATTCTTTCTGGGTTTAGCCAGTTAGGTTAAGATTTCCAAGATATAAATGGGAGCGGGGCAATAAAATCAAGTAAACATCATTTACAGACTAACTGGTTATATCCAGTAATGGTCCATTAAGCAAATAATCATATTAATTTCCTGCATGAAATAACACTTTGTCATTCTAAATACATTAATAAAGTCATGTCAGCATACAGGTGGCTTATTCACCGGAACTAGTTTCTTGTAACAATATTCTAGGGTTTTTTTTTTTCCAGTTGAAAGAGTGGAAAAGAGGCCCTGTCTACCTTATCCGTAAAGCTTCTTTTTGTATTATGAAAATTTGTTCCCTGATTGCAAATAACTTAGATAACTGGCAGCAGAGATATATTCCTCTGGGTGGAAAGGAGGCTGTGGGATTTCTAGGCAGAGTGATTCCACAACAAGCCAGTGAAGGGCAGAGTCAGGCTAGTATGGGAAGGGTCCTTGGGGGTAGCTCTGCACCAGGTGGAGACATGTGGTGGAGGAAGCGGGAAGCTGTGAGTCTTCTCCTTGCCTTTGTTATCACCGGGACGTGTAGTCCAGTGCTGGGAGGCTGGTCCCTCATTTCCGTGCAGGAAATGTACACCTTATTGATATAAATGTCAGGAAACGAACACAGCAGGCTGACTGCTGGCCGTCCCACCCTCTCTTTGTCCACCTTCTCATTTAGTGTGACCCTGTCCCTGCTCCCCCTGCCACCTGCCTCATTTCTCCCCTCCTATCATTATCGCTCAGCTGCTCCAAGGTCTCCATCTCGTTGTCACTCTTGCTGGCTCTCCCATGTCTCACCCTCCTTTCCCTGCAATATTTACTCATTCTTACTTCACCCCGAGATCCGTCTAGAGAAGGCCACTTCTGAAATTGGCTCCCCTGGCAATTTTTTTTTAAAAAACTAGGGCCCTGCGCAGGTTCTGACTTCATACTGGAATTGGATGTGTCCCTTCATCCTAAAACATGACCTTAGGCTCTATCCTCAATTCTGATGTGATACCTTTTAGTCTCCCACCTCTGCTCTGAGGCCCATTCCCTTCTGCCTCTTCCGAAACTCAGACCTTGCTTCACTGTAGTGCCATGATTTCCTTTCCTGCCAATATTTCTGACTCCTTCCCTATAGCTAGTAAATAGTCCTCAGACTCTCCCAT